GAGAAATAAATAAAAGTTTGGTTGGGTCAATTTTTATTTCGTTGGCCCAGTGTGTTTCGTTCTCATTTGTCTTCTGTTTACTGTCTTTTAAAGGCAGTACACAGAGAGGACTAGCCTATTTTAGCACTGAATAGCTACAAGCAACTGATCCTAATGGTTTTAAGTTTAAGCATTTGGCAGGACTGGCTGACAAACTGATACTTTTCTTCTGAATTTTCCCCTCCTGGCCTAATTTCTTTTAACCTTTTACTGTTCACTTTTAAAAAATACATTTTTGACAAATTGTTTCTTATCTAGCCATTATGTAAGTCATACATTTTAAAAAGACAATGAGTTTTTGAACCTTTCAACTTGGCAACATTGTCTCTGTAAAGCTACTAGTAACAGCACTGTAAATGTGAATTCAGGCACAAGCAGCCACTGATGTACTGATGGCTACTCTACTTTCAACTCATGCCAATAGCCAGAGAGGAGGCTGACAGGACTCCAGGTCATTTCTACCTTTTCCTCCATAATCCCAGGGGAGAAGGGCTACTGTCAATGGAAAAACAACAAACCATGAGTTTCTGAATTTTATCAAACTAAAAGCTAATGTATGTCAAAGGATCAGACAGCTGCAAAAGAAAGCTTAGAAGAGGAAGTTCAAAGAACACAATAATGGACATTGGGATGACATTACAAATATTACCAAAAAGTACCTGAATTGCTTGAAAATTTTGTGTGGAGTCAGGTCTATGTCCAAAAAGGTATGTATAAAGTATCTTTCTTACTACATAAGAAATTAAAATCACAACAACAAAAAAAGCAGCAAAGTAAAAGTTACTGTTGATTAGCCTAGAAACACGCCAAAGTAGTGCTTACAAGAGAAAAGTTCTAAATTCCAAATGTGTCTCCTATGTGGGTATAGTGAACAAGACACACATGGTCTAAGCTCCCACACCCAACAAATATTAAAACCTGAGAAGAAAACAGTAACCCTACAAAGTATAACAGACATACAGAAAATAAAGTGTTGAGGCAGAGAAGAGTTGGAAGTCTATATTTTACATAGTGGTGGAAGTCAGCAAAGAAGCTTTTACAAACAGCTCAGAAGAAAAGAAGAACTGGATAAAGAATAGTACAAGAAATGGAGAATGAGGAAGTAAAGTGTACCTTGTTCAGGTACCCGAGAGACCACAAAGGCAGAACAAAAGTAAATCAGACAGGAAAATGAAGTCTGAAGCATCAGTGACTGCAGAGGTTCATAAGCTATGAAGTACTAGATTTTATTTTGATTTAGTGGAAAACTACCAAGGAACTTGTAACAAAACCTACAATTTCAGAATACAACCTGTTAACTGAGAACAGGTTTTCATAATTATGAAAGTAATTTTAAATGAAAAAAAAATGGCTGCTTGTGGCAATTCCGTTTACAATATTAATAGCTGCCACAACCTTTCCACTTGTACTGAGTAAACACCCTCCCTCCTGTGACAACCTGGCTCAAGTGCTCTGCTTTCAGGTAGCCCTTATCTTACTTTGAAAATTTTCTGTTTGTAGAGCTTGCTGTTGTCTTTACCCCCTGCCCCCACAGTGCTCTCCAAGTTCCATGACCATGAGATCATTCCTGTCTTAGCATTATTTCCCCCATAATCTTATACTGTATTTGACATTAGAAAGAAAATCAATACTTCCTGAATATCATTCTTCTAGCATTTAATGAGCATTTGGTTGTTGTAGGCCTAGAAAGGCATGCCTACACTCTAAGGAAACGCAAAGGCTGTGTGAGTGGGGGTGAGTGGGTTTTGTCCTCAACTAAGTTATATCATAAGCCAGACAATAAGCTTTTTGGAAGCATGAAGGGGACATTACCTAACAAAGCATTTTCCTTCTGTATGTGTGTGTGTGTATATATATATATATATACACACACACACACATGCATATATATGTTCAACAAAAAGTGATACTTAATGAACACAATTACTTAAAATCGGTCAATTTGTAAGTTTTCAAGTCTCTCATATAGAACATATGTAACAGTATCCCACCCACCTTATTCCTGTCATGGATGAGATCCATGCATCTGATAAATATCACATTTAAAACAACAAAAGCAGAAACAGAAAACTCAACTGTTGAGCAGATCGTAAGATAAACTTACGCAATATCCAACTTGTGTGAAATTCTAGAACTTTTCTTCCTCCCCCTACCATGTTTAAGGGTGCCAAGTTTTTATCTGCATTGATTCAGCAGTATGTTTACAATCTTGTCAGGGGAATCCAGTAGTATATAGCTTGCCCACCTCTGCCACTACTAAAGTAAAATACTAATAGCAGAACTAATAGGAAAGGGACCCTAGAACAAAGGGCAAAGGAAAGAGAAAGAAAAACAGGAGCAAGAAAAGAAAATTAATAAGATCACAAGATGAAGCTCAGCATTATTTAACAAATGATTTATTTGTTCTGTATCTTTTTATGTATTTTTATGTATCATAAAATTATTATGTTTAACATTTAATGAATGATACATAAAACAAGTTTGGGGGAAGCTTTTTCTGTACACTTGGAAGCAAACAATACTGTGTAACACAGCTTATAGCTGGTGCTTTGCTGAAGGGAAATCTTGTGTTTCTTGAAGGGAAATAGCTTTCATGATGGGGTGCGGAGCTTGGAGTCTTATTCATTTTTCTGTTCTCTTAAAAAAGAGTAAAGCATGACCCTCAAAATGAACACCAGCACCATTTCTAGCCAGTTTAAAGAGCAAGCTATGTAGCCTAGAAAAGGAAGTGCTATGCAAAAAAAAAAAAAAATGCACTTGGTGGTAACATGAGAGGCAGATTTACCTAAAGATTCTCACAAAGGAAAACCAGTTGAGCTGTACAAGGGACGTAGAGTTTCTCAGCATAGATTAATACACAGCAAATGGATTTTATAACTTCAAACTTCTGGGATTCTACGAACGCCAATATCTTCTATTGGTAATGTTCCTAATGTCATATACCGTTTACCTTGAGTTTGAGTCAGTCAATCCAACACACGTATCTGAACACATCACTGACAGTTCTAAAGTAGGAAGGAACTATTCTAACTACTCACGGATAAAGCCCTTATACTTCTTGAAAACCAACTATGGACTGTTACCTGGTGACTGAAGAGTTTTAGCAAATTCTGTAGCAATGATACAACATGGCAAAAACTGGCAACAATATGCCAACCACCGAATAGCAAAAATCAAACTCCGTAAGATGTAAGACTTGAGGTATAGCCAGGCGTTCCTGGGAACACAGGCAAACCCCGGCAATCTCCTTCTAAGAACGCGACTGAAATAAACTCTAGCTGGCAATCTCTGAGCTTGTCAACATGGGCTGAAATTTCTAGAAAAGTTGGCTGAACAAGAAGCGTGGCCCAAGCCAGGAAACATTCACCGCCGCCCTCCAAAGGGAAGGTAAAGACCGCACAGGATGCTACACGGTTCGTGGACTCGGCAGCACCGGGCCAGGAGGGTGTGGACTTGCCAGGCAAGGTCGGTTCTGCGCGGCCAGCGCCCCAGCCCTTGGCTCGTCATGGGCCACCCTGGGGTGCTGACTCCCGCGACCCGCGGCTCGCAAAGCTCGCAGGCGCCCCTCCACCTCCGACTCCAGAGCCCTCCGCACCGCTAGCGTCGCCCCTCGCTCTCCCCACAACCCCGCGCGCGAGGCCACCGGGCGCCAGCAAGGACGGCGGTCGCCTCAACTAGTCCGTCCGCAGCCACCCAGTTATGTCCAGCCCAGAGGCTCCTGCGCTCGCTCCACTCCTCCCGGGAGAAACGCACCCCACCCCGTCCGTGACATCCCCGCCACTTCCCCAGGCCGGGCCCCCGCAGCCTTACCCCGACCCAACAAGCACAAGACTAGAAATAGCAACTCCGAGCCCAGGCGACTGAGTGACGGATAGGCGGTAGCACGTTCACGACACTTTCACGATTGCCGTAAAGTGGTGGCTAGACGAGGGCTGCTGCGCGGCTCCGAGCTGCTCGGGAGCGCGCCCCGGGGCTCCGCCCTGTCTCCCGTAGCGGCCTGGGTCTCTGCATCCTGAGGCTGGAGCTGGCGGGTCCCGGACAGGAAAGGAAGACCTAGAGGTGGGTGGGGGAAAATGGCTGGCCTAGCCCCGAGCCGGGGTGTCTAGCTGGAGCCTGTGTCGAAAGATGGTCTCTCAAGGTTCAGGCGAGGGCGCAGCCCCCATCGCCGCGCGGGGCGCGCGCCTCACCTGACCCGGTGAGAGCTTCACGGGGCACGGGACCCTTCTTGGTCCAGCTCCGGGAACCCACAGGTCGCGGTGGAGGACGACTAGGCTGAGGCCTCCGCGCCCCCCTTTTTCTCTCTTTGGAATCTCTACCATCAACGTGCCCCCAAGTGGTGCTTCGTGTCAAGCTTAGTGTCGCTTTTATTTTCCTTGTCCCAGGCACGGCTCCGCTCTTGTACTACCAGACTTGGGGTGGGGGAGGAAGGAGGGATATAAGAGGGAGAAAGAAAAAAGTATTAACTTAAACACTCTGCTTTTGTTCAAGCAACTAACGAAACATTTGAGTGCCTTTTGTCGTCCCTGAGCCCTTATTTCTAGTTGGTGGGGGCTGGGGAAGTTGGAAACGTGACCTTGTGTTTACACAGAGCTCTGTCTACAGCCCTTGATTGTGTTTCAGGGAGTGGCCCCTATCTGAAAGGAAATTACTAGTCCTGTGAATCCTAGCAGTCGCCATCCTTTGAAAAACAGTGAGACAGGAATAAGTTTTCCAAATTTTCACTTATAAAGAAGTACCCAAGTGCGACATGTAACTGGAGGCTTTAGGATTAGCCATTAGAAAATATTACATTTGTCAAGAGGCCATATTAGAATTCAGGAAAGTAGTCATTTTTATGCTTTGTTTGGGACCTGATGGTCCTGTGTATCTCTGAGAAAGAGCCAGAGGCCACCTGTTTGTTCACTTGGAACATCCAGACTTTGTATTTTTTATATTCTTTAGCTGTCGCCACTTAGATGGGACGACATAAAGAAGTTCATCTTATTACCAGTGGCTCTTAAATGTGAAAAAAAAAATTAACAGCATTTCTGAGTCATGGAACTTCAAAGAAAGCAGAGAAGATGGGTGAGAGATGCAGAACACTTCCTTAACGTTCTAACTTCAAGTAATTTTAAAACGTTTTCTTTTTTTGGTATTGGAAATTGAACTTTAAGACCTCTTGTTTGCTTTGCATGTCTTTAAAAGGATTCTTGACTGTTTCTTAGAATGGTGAACCTCTATAATTCTAATCTACTTGGTCTGAAATTGCTCTCATACTTTAGCTTATGGAGGTGAAGGCCATGGGCAATTAGTAGTCTTCCTCACCCATCCTCTGTATTTTAGTTTCTCAATTGTCTCTGGTGGACTGTTACAGTGTGTTAAGCCCTGCCTTGCCTCTAAACTATCTATTTAAGCTGCTAGGATCTTAAAAGCCTACAAATACATCATTCCTTGAAGAAATTTTTGCACAGCCACGTATAGGTAGTTACAAAATTTATAAATCATTATAGTATTTTATACTCATATTTCAACTTAGAATACTGTATCTCAGATATTAAGTTAAATTGCCTGAAATCCAGTAACTGGAAAGTCATAATTGTGGGATTAAAAAAAAAATCACTTGTGTGTTTAGGGGTTAGGGAAATGTCTTCTGTGCTAAACAATAAAAAAATGACTTCCTACAATTAAAACATTTTCTTAATTATGTGAGTGGGATTAAAAATTTCAAGCATCAGCTCTATAAAAAAAATCATTTTGTTCATAATGCTGCATTCTAATGTTCAGGCCCCAGATACTGCTTTTTGACTGACTAAGAACTGTGATACTTAAAACCATGTGGTTGAAATAATAACATATTTCCTTTGTACGTAGATTTCAAGATTTGCAAAAGAAACAAGCTTGTGACGTTCTGAAGACTGAAATTTTGAGAACTTGTAAAATAGGTAATTTATCTTTCACATTGTAAAAAGGAACAAGTATTTACTAACCACTTACAGTAATTCCTAACATCTGTTATCTGCCTTAGTATTTTAACAAATACTAAATACTCACTGAAACAGCTATTCTTTTAGACTGCTTAACAAATAATACTGGGACTTTAGGATGGCTCAGCATATAAGGAAATCACCAGCAAGTCTGAAAACCCGAGTTCAATCCCTCAGACACACGTAATAGAAGGAGAAAACATTCTTAAACAGTCCTGAAATTTATTCTCTGGCTATTTGGCTTGTACCCCCCTTACACATACACACACACACTCACACACAACACATACATAAATGTAGTTTTAAAGTATTTGACAATACTAAAAGCGAGTACTCATTGCATCACCATTGTGTTAGTTTCTTCCCTTGTCACAGTAACTTCTACAATAACTATCTAGTATCGTCTGCTGGAACTTTTCCATGATGAAGAAACGTTCTGTACTTTTATTGTCATGTTGCCAGCCATTAGACTGGCTCTGAGTATTTGGATTGTGATGAATACAACAGAGGAACTGAAATTTGCAATTTTATTGTATATTAGTTTAAATATGTTTTCTAGTACTGCATGCTTGGTGCATTCTATGCTGAAAATGCCTCCACTTTTCACAGGAGAAGCTGCCTCAGATGAGTTTTGAGGCTTGCCCAATATCATATAGTATTACTTTTTAAAAGGTGTTATATAGGGGAATAGTTGATTTAGAAATGCAGATTGAGTGGTTTGGGGATGGGGGAAGCAGTTCAACCAGGAATGGAGAATCTAAACAAGAGTGGGTATACTGTACAGTGAGCAGAAGGATGGATGAAAGGAATAAGTGACTTACAGAAATAGAGTTGCTGTTATTTAGTGATAACATTTGAGGATTTTGAAGAGAGCCTTCTCTGCATGAGTGACTGTGAAGTCCAAGAATCTGAGAAATGATAATGCTGCTTATTGAAATAGAAAATACAAGACCAGCCACTAGAGTTAAGATGATTTGGTGTCCGTTTTTTGTTCATTCAGGAAGTGTTAAGTGCTGATGGGTGAGTCCCTGTTCTTACAATTGGTGAAGTGGAATCTCGCTCATTCACTTCAGATACCTTCCTAAATCTTTATACTATAGAAGTAAAGAACTAGAGAATGCAAATCAGGTTTTCTCAGGAAGTGCTTACTTGTCATGCAGAGAGATTGGCAAAGGTTGTGTGTAGAAGATAGCTTTTCTGCCATGTATGTACATGTTTCTGTGTGTGCTGGTGCACATGCATGCATGTGGTTGTTGAGGACAGAAGACAATCTCCGGTGTCATATACCCTTTTAAAGATAGAATGTCTCACTGGCCTGGAATGTGCCCTGTAGGTTAGGCTGACTAGGGAGCCCCAGGAATCCTGTCTCTTCCTCCTCCAAGTGCTGTACCCCACCTGGCTTTTATTTACATGGGTTCTGGCTTAAACTGAACTGTCCTTCCAGCCCTCTGCTGTGTTTTGAATATTAAGAAGGATCTAAAAGTTAAAAAAAAAAAACAAAACCAAAAATCAACAGCAGAATAGGAAGGAGACTATTCTACTAGTAGTGGGATGAGCAAACTGTTCTGAGCATACCTTTTACCCAAACATCTAAAGTCTGAATAAATTATATTGTTTTTTAAAATAAAAAGCACATTTTCTATGAAAGAAAACGGAATTCATCAACCAGGCATCACCGTGCCTATAAATTCCAGAACTTGGAGATAAGATAGGAGGGTGTTAAGTTGGAAGTACCTTGGACAGTAGTGTACTCCAGGCCAGCCAGAACTAAATGCCAAAACATTGTGTTAACCAACCACACTTCCCAAATTAAGAAAAGGGAAATCCTCTAGGCTGAAAAGTCAAACAAGGAACCAAAGCAAGAGAGATAAACTAGCTGTTACCTTCTTTGGAAGCATTTGCCTTCTGATAGAAAAAGAACAGTGAAGGGCAAGGAATGGAATGCTGTTTCCTACTGGGACAGGAATGGAGGATTCCCAGTTGGATCTCCTGGTGACACAATCTACACAGCATCTTTACAGTTTATGAAATGGTATTGAGATCAATGAGTAATATTTTCGTAAGATAGAGTGCAAACATTTCCTCTTAATTACATGACTCACGTCCTCTGAACTACCTCCTCTCAAATTCAGCCAGGATTTCTCTACACACACTCTGAATGAAAGGCCAGAAAAATCTCTCCCTCTTGGCAGAGAGAGACCACTGAAGTTTGTCTGTTTTCTCCACACATCTAGGCGGAGGAATAAGATACCATCTGAGAACTGGAAGCTGCATAAAGCCTACCGTCATTGATTCCAGGTTCCTGCTCACAGGCTACATGGTCTGAAAAACTGGAAGCCAAGGGATTAGCCCACAGTTGGCCCAGGTTAGTAATAAATCCAAGTGCTTAGCAAAATCAAGGACAAACTCTCTGTGAAATATTTCATCATTAGTTCTCTCCTCCCCTTCTCTTTCTCTCTCGTCTCTCTCTCCCTCTTTGTGTGTGTGTATGTTCTGTGTGTGTGTGTGTACACATGCATTTTCCCGTTCAGCTATATCATGGTGCATATTTGGAGTCAGAGAAAAACTTATAACAGTTGTCTCCTTCTGCCATGTGGATTCTGGGACTCAAACTCCACATTAAGTTTCTTAGAACTGGACTTTTAAAGCATTTTCCACTTATAACTTTTTCTCATCAGAGAAATTTTTACATGTTGGGTATATGGATACATGAACTAGGTAAGCAATTCAAACATTAATAATAAAGTCATAAAGAAATTTATTTTAAAACAGTTCTTTGGTATACATATAGTTTTACCATTCGAATGCTAATTTGGCAAATTAACTTGTTCAGCTTTACATTAAAGATTAAATCACAAAATGTTTGACACTCTAGTGCTTTCTTTCTCAACTTGTGGGTCTTATCCTCTTTGGGGTCAAAACCCATTCACAGGGGTGGCCTAAAACTATCAGAAAACACAGATATTTGCATTATGATTCATAACAGTAGCAAAATTACAGTTAAGAAGTAGCAACAAAAATACTTTTATGGTTGGGGATCACCACAGCATGAGGAACTGTATTAAAGAGCTGAAGCATTAGAAAGGGTGAGAACCACTGCTCTAGGGCAGAGGACATCCTCTGTGTTTGTCTGAATTGGTAGATTTTATTTTATATTACTTGTGGTTGTTTAGGTATTACCACTTAGGACCATTTCATTTGCTAGCAATTTTTTCCTAGTCCCAAACTGAAATTATTTAATGACTTTTTGTTTATTTATTTTGGCTCAGATCTGTAGATCAGAAATTTTTAAAATCAAATATTCTAACACATTTCAATCAAGATATACTAACCAGATGCTACAAGCTGAGGAATGACAGAAAAAATGAAAGTATTTGTTTTCTGTAATTAAACCATTATGCTTTTTTTAAGAGCAGAAAACTTTGTACTTACAGTAAACCCTGATCACTAACACACAATAGCTTTGAATCAAAGCAATCTGTACCTTGTGGGTTCAGAGCTGAGGCTGCACGGAAGTTGTGCAATGCAAGCCCAGGCAAAAACCCAGGTATTTCTGGGTTCGTTACCCTGCTGAATTTGAATTACTGTTTGCTTGTTGTATGTTCAGATAACCTTTTCCTGTTATCAGATTTTTCATGATGCACAGTTTAAGGATCTAGAGTTTAGAATGCTTTCAGATTTAAGATCACACAAATACAAACTCATAGTTGGAAGCCATAAAACACATGAAAGGGCTCTTGCAGGGCACTTCAGTTTGTAGAGCACCTAGCATGCAGGGAACCCTGCGTTAGATTCGGAGTACTGCGTGATGGCACATGCCTATAATTCTGGCACCTAAGTGATGGAGACAAGATGATCATGAGTTCATAAGCCTTCTTGACTATATAGGGAGTTCTTAGCCAGTCTAGGGTTAAAAAAAAAAACCAAAGATTTTTCTCCTTTTGGAGTTTTATAATTAATATTGTTTTTTTGTTTTATAGGGAGGTCTATGATCAAATTTTAGTTATTGATTTGAAGAAGTATAGTGTATGGTTTATTATTTCATACATAGGTTGGTCCAGTACCTTTCGTGTACGATTGCCTTTGCTTGATTATACTGCCTTTTATCCTTTACTAAATAAAGATTAGTTGACTGTGTCTAACAAAAAAGAGAGAGCCCAGGGTGGGGAAGGGGGGAGAAGAAGGAGAGACAAAGAAAGGCAAAGCAAGAACTATTTCAAAAAAAACACTATTGGAGACGATATGCTGTCACATTGCAGGTGTCTAAGAGAGCAAACTCTATGAAAAGCACCTGTAAGACTTGATAAAGCTAACAAATAATAGAACTGGGTTCCTACAGACTTGAGAGAAGAACTATTGGAAACAGGAATTAAAATAGCAATTAAGAGCTAAGTAAATGTACCTGTCAGGGTTATTCTCTCAAAAACCTACTGTAGTAAATGCACATGTAGGATGTTGGCAGAGAAGTGCTAAGAAGAATAAATAGATAAATGAAATTATTGATAGAACATTAAGGACTGTTAGGAAAGGGAAAATCCCTTGGAGATTGTGACAGTTTAGACAGAAAATTACTTGAATCAAGTTTATACTGGTAGCTTTTTGGAACAAAGGAAAAGAAACTTACTTAGCAATGTAAATATACTTATTTTGCAACTAGTCATATGATTGAAGCAGATGACAAGTAGCAAATGGCTGAGATTTCATTATTGGGAAAGTCAGCCTGAGACAAGGAAGTAGAAGATTGTGGAACCTTATTCAAACTTAAGGAAATTGAGTTGGTAGTTAAAAAGTTGATGGGAAATACTAAGAACAATTACTTTTAATTTTAAAGTATTAAATTTTTAACAAATTTCTAAAAATTTAAGTAAATGAAGATATAATTTACATTCTTGACTTGTTTTTACGAAAGATCTTAAGTCTAGAGTTTAAGGACAAAATGGCATGTAGTATGCATCTAAGTAATTTTTTTTAACTCTTCATATAGGAACTGGAAATATAATAGTGTCTAAAACAACTGTTTCTTGTTCTCCTAAAACTGAAATTAACTGAGAAAAAACAAACAAAATGTTACTGTTTAGTGTGATCGCTGTCCTTGTTGGTACAGGCTGCTGCTGGAAACAGCTAGGACTTTGAGTTGAAGCTAGACTTGAAAAACACGAAGAGGTTAGAGCTGGAGAGATGACTAAGCAATTCAGAACACTGGCTGCTCTTCCAGAGAAGAGGATTTAGTTTCAATTCCCAGCACCCACATATCAGCTTACAACCATCTAATTGTAACCCCAGCTCCAGAGAATCCAACATACACAGGCATATATGCAGACAGAAGACTCAAACGTAGAATAATAAATAATAAAAATGTGTACAAGAGGTGTGGGAGTGATGATAGCCTCAGGTAGGCAGTGTGCTCCTCAGTGGTGTGCCTGCAGGCGCTGAGCCCAGGCTTTCTATGGTCGTATTCTGCTGACATGCCAGGTCACTGAGCACCCTGGGGCCCAGGTGGCTCATTTTTGTGCCATCCCTGGACATACTACTCACAAGCAGGTCCAGCAAGTAGTTCTCTCTGGGTGAGGAAGTAAAGAAAGGTTTCTGGAAATAGCAGAGCAGCTGTATCTCAGTCATGGTGGGAACTCTGCTGTCATGCAAATATTTCTCCACTTCCCCTTTACCATCAACATAGCCTTTTGCAAGCTTTCTCCCTATCAATTTCCCAGTCCAGGCTACTATAGATCACAGTGGAAGCCCTGGTGCTTGCCAGACTTACTAGCAGCATGCCTTCCTTGTCATTCTGTTTCTGGCTGCCATGCTCCCACTCATTGATCTTGATAAAGGAAACCTGAACTATGATCAGGGGTAGCCCTATTCTGGTCTTGTCACCCTGGTATTTCTGCATTTTTGCATTTTGAAGCCCTACATCCTTTTCTGTTTGTCTTCTCTCTACTATCCATAGTCACAGGTCAAACTCTAGACCCTATCTTCTTGAGAAGCTGATATGGCTCAGTTGGTAGATGGCTTATCTAGTATACCTGAAGCCTTGGGTTTGGTCCTTAGAACCTCATCAACCAGATATGGTGTGGTATACACTTAGAGTCCTAACAACGAGGTAGCCAGCCTGGAATGCTTGAGACCTTGTGTCAGAGAGAGAGGGACACACTGACACGTACATAGTCAGGTTGGCTGCTATTGATGTGGGAGAGTCACTGACCTCTAGATTTCAAAGATTTAATTTCAACTTGGATGACAAAAGAAAAAAAATAAAAACCTCTTTGGCTCCAAGCACCACATTTCTTGTTTACAATGAGGGCCTGGATGAGAGGGATGAGGTCCAGAAAGCCTGACCAGGGAAACTATGGGTCTACTGCAGAATATACCACAAGCTGGCAATCCCCATCTGCCCACTGTAGCTCAAGAGCCTCTCTCCCCATCTAGGTGTCTTCTGTACTGACATTTATACTGTGGATTATAGGCATCCTCCGTCACTTCTGTTCATCTGATTTGTCTCTTTTGGAATTTGAACTGAAACTGCATTACAGAGGCATGATTGATTAAATGTATGAGAATCCTAATCCTCTCATCATGCCTCAATCTTTCCTTCTAAGGTTGGCAAGAGGCTACACTGCCCAGCAAACTCATCAGTATATAAGACATTTGCCAGTCTAGAGATTACAGAGATTTCCGTAACTTTCTTTTCCCCAGGAAACAAAAGACCACATTCACTGATTTGACCAATTGTAGATTGAGAATATTAGGAGTGGGGGACCAGGGTGGGAGCCCAGCTGTGTTGTAAATGTAAGGATACTTTTATTAATTATTATATAATTAATAATATAAAAATATTATTAATTATTTTATTATTCAATTATATATAATGTATATATAACTATATATACATTATATAATAATATAATGTATTATTATAACAACTATCTTAATGATTTCCATTATTATGATATAGACATCACCTAAAGTGTATAGGGTATATGTAGACTGTAGGCAAATCCTATGCATTTTGGATGAAGGACTTGAGCATTTTTGTTCTTTGGTATCAGTAAGGTAGTGATGATACAGAAGGGTAATTTTATACTTAATAGCATTACAAGGTCCAGTTAGAAGGTTACTCTAGTAATCTGGTCAAAGATGATAGTGGTTTAGGCAGAGTCCTAGCAGTGACGATACAAAGAGAAGGTAGAATGCAAAGAAATAATAGAAGAATCAGGGTTGACACTTGTCATGTGTGAAATGTTGAAGTGGAGAGCAAGTTTCTGGGTCTGGCCAATAGGTGAGTCTTAGTTCTGAGAAAGTGAAGAGGTGGTGCTGAAGTGGTGTGAGGGGAGGCTTATAGGGTAAGAGTCCAAGTGTGGGGATGCTTGCAGAGCAAGAGTACAAGGTTGGAGAGGGCATGGCTAACAACGAATGGAAAAGCTCATCCATTACTGTTTCTCTTTTGTCTTTTTTGCTGCAGATAACCTGTTTGAAATGTGGTGGTTTCAGCAAGGCCTCAGTTTCCTGCCATCAGCACTTGTAATATGGACATTTGCTACCTTTATATTCTCATACATCACTGCAATAACACTCCACCATGTTGATCCTGCATTGCCTTATATCAGGTAGGTGGGACCCTGGTCATCCTTCAGGACTGGGATTGGAACACAGGTTTAGGTAAGTGCCCCACACCAAGCTACTTTTCCAGACCATGGAGAGTCTTTATTCGTAGTTTACATTGAATCTGGCCTTTCAATTTTCATTTGAAAATTCAAATTTTTATGCTGCCATTGTAGCAAAGGGACCATAAAATAGAACTTACATTTGGTTGTTTCCATGTAATGGAGAAATATGGGAACAGTGGGGTGAGTCAGTTAATAAATTCTAATCTCTTAGTGAGTTGTCTTTTAAATATGTGCTTGAACTTGCCCCAGAAACTAGAATCATAATTACTTTCCTCTTAAAAGTTAAAAAATGTTGCAAGCATAGTAATATTGGGAAACTATAGTAGTACTGGTAAGTATTTATTGATTAGTTGTGGGACAAGGTAATGTTCTGACTACTCTTCATGCCTTAGGGAGTCAAATTCTTACACCATCCTTGTGACGTAGAGAAATTTATCCTAATTTAAGAAGAGAGGCTCTGTAGTCATCTGCTGTTACTGTAATATATACACATATATGGAAAAAACCAGTTTAAGGAGAAAAGGGTTGCTTTGTCTCACAGTTGCCTGGTGCAAGGCAAATGTCATGGCAATAATATATAGGGAACAAAAGCAAAAGCAAGCAGGAAGGAGATCAGAGCTTTGTAATTCCCTTTAAGTGTGTACATCCAGTGACCTAAAGAGCTCTCATGGGCCTTACATCTTAAAGGGTCCACCTTTAAGCTACTCATAATGCTTCCCGTTAGACTAAACTTTGAGCACATTTAATAGCTATATCAGAGAAGCAAAGTTCCTGGAAAGTATGTATTTGCTCAATGATAATACAACTCATTCAGTGATGGAACTAAGACCTCTGGTTTTATTCCAGGGACTGTGTTCTTACTCTTCACAACCTGCTGGTGAGATATTTCTGAAAGAATAGGTTATCAATGTTATATTTTTGACATTTCAAAACTACTAACAATTTCATTATGGGTGTTGCATGTACTGTTCATAACCACTTTTAAATTTTATTCATATGAGTGTTTATCCTGAAATGTATGTGCACCACATACATGCTTGGTGCCAGCCAGGTAAGCGCTCCAGAGCCCTTGGAACTGGAGTTACCAAGGGTGGTAAGCAGCTATGTGAGTGCTGGAGACTGAGCCCAGGTTTTTTGTCAGAGAAGCCAGTTAACAACTGCGCTGCCTTTAGCGCCCCTCATCCCTTCTTTTTAAAATGCAAGCAATTATTGCAACAGATTTAACAAGGTGATGTTGTCCATAAGCAGGAAGTCACTAAGGCTGACTCAGTCATTAAAAATGCTTGCTGTTACAGAGGACCCACGTTTGGTTCCCAGTGCCCACATAGGGTAGCTCCCAGCTGCCTGTCACTCCAGTTTCAGGGGACTCGATGCCTTCTTCTGGCCCACACAGACACACACATAGACACACACAGACACACACACACACACACACACACACAAATAAATTCAAAATGAAAGTTTTTTTGAAAACTGAAGTGGAAGTTCCTTCTTCACTCCTGAAGTCCCCATCTCTGGAGTGATCAGTGGTTTGGTAGCTTGCCTTCCAGAGTTTGTTTTGTCATCCATGTTTAAAAAAAAAAAAAAGATTATTTCAACCAGGCAGTGGTGGTACACCCCTTTAAACTCATCACTCAGGAGGCATAGGCAGGTGGATCTCTGTGAGTTTGAGGCCAGCCTGATTTACAGAGCGAATTCCAGGACAGGATCCAAAGCTACAGAGAAACCCTGTCTCAACCGAAAAAAAATAGATAAATAAATAAATAAATAGATTCTTTCTCCCATTTCTTCCTTTTTTTTTTCTTACTAGTAATAGATTTTTGTTTGTTTATTTGTTTTTGTTTTGTTTTGGTTCTGTTTTGTTGTTGTTGTTGTTTTTCTCTGTAATAATCACTTTTAAGAGTATTAAGATGTTAACATGCCCCCTCTGACTTTCAGAAATAATCTGATAATAAAGACCCATTGAATAACTTTACATACTGTATAAAATGTATTTCTCTGTGTGATGGATAGACGAGAAAGTAAAAAGACTTTGACTTGGACATGGCTAGACATATTTATGCATGCACAAAGAGAATATGAGAAAATAATAATTATGAATGGTTTCTAAGGTACTAAAGTTTAAAAACATTTTCATAAGGAAAAGGTGAATTAAATACTGAGAGTGGAAGAGCTGAAGGAATTAAATGGGGTGGAGGTGGTGAAAACACCATCCCTAAGTACAACTCAGCAGGCTTTTGTGTTTTTATCTAGATGATCCCACCTGGGACAGCTGAAGCCTTTGAAACATCATAGAATTAATTGAATCAATTGCTTTTTTTTAATCTTTGTCTGAATAGTACTTTTTTTTTAAGACAAAGTTTCACATATAAAAATAAGTTAAAATTAATATTGATGAGCAATAAAATGATATAACAAAGTCTTGTGAGCTAAATAACTCTAGCCTGACCTGAGATTGTTCAGACAATTTAGATTAAAAATATTTTCTGACTACTTACTTTCTGACTGTCCCTGAAAACTATCTAAACTCTGACAAATCTTTGTGCTCATATGGGTGTGATCAAGGGTGGACAAAAACCCTGAAGCTTATTGAGTTACTGACACACATACCTCCCTCTAGTTATGGTGGATCACATAAAACTAGAAGAACAGCAACAAAGTCAGTCCTTGTTGGATTTTTCCCTTTTTTCAAGTATTTTACATTGAAATAAAGTTTAAAACAAACAGGCCACATTTTAATATCTTTATTCGACTACACATTCTCAACATTACCAAAACATCAGAAAGCACCAAGACACTGTTAACATATTTAATGCTTTGACCTCACATCAAAAACTACTAATGCAGAGGTTCTCACCTATGAGTGGCGATCCATTTGGGGGTAGAATGACCCTATCACAGGAGTTTCCCAAGACCATGGGAAACCAAATATTTACACTAGGATTTAGCAGTAGCAAAATTACGGTAATGAAGTTTCAATAAAAATAATTTTATGCTGGGAATCCCTACAACACAAGGACCTGCATTAAATTTTTACAGCATTAGCAAGGTTCTGGACCACTACTTTTTTATTTATTTTTTTATTTTTTTTAAAAAGTTTATTAATTTATAAAAGTTTCCATTTCCGCCCCTCCTCCCAATACCCTCCCACTCCCCCCACTCCCTTTCCTCCTCCCTCTCCATCCCTAAGAGCAGTCAGGGTTTCCTGCCCTGTGGAAAGTTCAAGTTCCTCCCCCCTCCCTCCAGGTCCAGGAAGGTGAGCATCCAAACAGACTGGATCCCAAATATCCAGTATATGCAGAGGAAACAAGTCCCAGTGTCATTGTCAGTGGCTTTTCAGAAAGACCCCATGCCAGCCACATTCGGAGAATCCGGCCACATTCAGAGAATCTGGTTGGATCACATGCTCGTTCAGACCCAGTCCAACTGGTCTTGGTGAACTCTCATTAGGTCAGTCCCCTTGTATCAGTGGGTGAACATACTCCTCATGGTCCTGCCTTTCTTGTTCATGTTCTCCCTCCTTCTGCTCCTCATTTAGACCTTGGGGGCTCAGTCCAGTGCTCCAATGTGGGTCTCTGTCTGTATCGCCATCCATCGTCAGATGAAGGTTCCCTCTGGTGTTGCCTTCTTTGCTCATGTTCTCTTTCCTTCTGCTTCTCGTTTGACCTAGGGAGTTAAGTCCAGTGTTCCAATGTGGATCTCTGTCTCTATCTCCATCCATCGCCAGATGAAGGTTCTATGGTGATATACAAAATATTCATCAGTATGGTTATGGGCCAAGACCGGTTCAGGCACCCTCTCCTCTGTCCAGAGAACAATCTGGGGATCTCTCCTTGGACCTGGGATCCCCTTTATAATCAAGTCTCTTGTAAACCCTAAAATGACTCCCTGAGTTGAGATATATACTTCCCTGATCCCATATCCATCCTTCCTCCCTCCCCCCCATCCCAATCCCCCTAGCTTTCCCCATTCCTCCCCTACTTTCTTCTTTCTAATCCTCTCTCCTTCCAACAACCCCCCCCCATCCCCTTGGCACTCTTGTCTACTTCCAATCTTCAGGAGGATAACTACATGATTTTCTTCAGGTTCACCTTCTTATTTAGCTTCTCTAGGATCACGAATAAAAGGCTCAAAGACCTTTAATTATGGCTAGAATCCACATATGAGTGAATACATACTATATTCCTCTTTTTGGGTCTGGGTTACCTCACTCAGTAAAGCGTTTTCTATGTCCATTCATTTGCATGCAAAATTCAAGATGTCATTGTTTTTTACCGCTGAGTAAAACTCTAATGTATATATGTTCCACACCTTTTTTAACCATTCTTCTATTGAGGGGCACCTAGGTTGTTTCCAGGTTCTGGCTGTTACAAATAGTGCTGCTATGAACATAGTTGAACAAATGCTTTTGTGGTGTGATAGGGCATCTCTTGGGTAAATTCCCAGGAGTGGAATTGCTGGGTCTTGAGGGAGGTTGACTCCCAGTTTCCTGAGAAATCGCCACACTGATTTCCACAGTGGCTGCACAAGTTTGCATTCCCACCAACAATGGATGAGAGTTCCCCTCTCTCCACATCCTCTCCAGCATAGGCTATCATTGGTGTTTTTGACTTTAGCTAATCTGACCGGTGTACTAGACACTAAAATTCTAATTAACCCAATTAAAAAATGGGGTGCTGATCTGAACAGAGAATTCTCAACAGAAGAACTCCGAATGGCCAAAAGACACTTAAGGTCATGCTCAACATCCTTAGCGATCAGGGAAATGAATAGTACTTTTTATCCTATGTTTGTTGCAAGTGTTCCATTTCCTCATTTATTTCTGATACATAACCTTTCTAACACAGAAAACAGCAAACTTTAAAAAAGTTATAAATCAGAAGGTTCATTTGAGCCATTAAAACGATCAAGTTCTTATGCTTTGGCAAGTAAGTGTCCTTCAGAAGGGGTACCATATGGCTGTGGTTTTATATAATGGAGATAACACACAAAGATCATACACAAATCGTGTGCACTTAGAGATGTTTATAAAACCCACAATTTTTATGATTTCAAATGTTCATTTCTAGTAATAATTTGGCAATCACACTTGTGTTATAGAAACACATAGCTGAAGGAGTCAGACAAATTCCTTGTAACTCTGTAAGAAAGTGCGAATTTTTTTTTTGTCAGCATTTTTTTATTTCCCCTTTTGAAAACTTGTCTTCTTGGCATTCAGAGCTTTCTGTAACTTAAGAGCTAATGAGTGTCTTTTGAGTGTTTCAATTCTCTGTTGGTCTTGTCTGTGATCTTTCCAAGTTCTCTGGACACTCCCTCCCCCCAGCTCACCCCATCTCCTTCTGCTTTTATTTTTCTGATAATAAGCTCTGTATTACCCTGATCTCTCTCAGTAATGCTGTGGTATTTTAATTGTGGTACCTATTCTCCACTTAGGCTCATTTCTTTTGCATGATATATAACTAAGTTAAGCTAAATATTCCACAAAAGTATTTTCTTTTGGTTTGTAGGTGTTTTCCAAACAGTTATAATCCTAAAGGAAATAAAGTGAGTTTCTAAGTAGTGTGCTTCAGATGGGGTGCCAGCCGTTGCGCTGTACAGCAAAGGAAGCAGTCCAGGGAAGAGAAGCACACATTGGGACACAGTCTTCACCAGCCATCCATCTGTTAGAGGATTAATATCCAAACCAGGCAAAGAACTAGAAAAATAAAGAGCCAAGAACATTTTCCAATGAAAAATAGGCTATTGATGTGATAGTTCTGAACAGAATTCAAAAGAAATAAAAGTGGCTAAGAAATATTTCAAAAAGTTCTTCACTTCCTTAGCAATTAAGAATGCAAATTTAAACTCCTTTGAGATTTCATCATACAACAGTCCAAATGGCTAAGATCAACTGACAAATGCTAGCAAGGATGTGGAGAAACGAGAACCCTCATTTATTGTAGATGGGATTTCAAACTGATGGAGCCACTCTGAAAATCAGTGCATAGAATTCTTACAAAGCTAAAAATAAATTGGCATATTGCTCAAAGGATTTGACATCCTGCTCCACAGATACTTGCTCAGCCATGGTCATTAATAGTCTATACAAAATAGCTGAGAAATGCAAGCAAACTAAATGCCCTTCAACTGACAAATGAATAGTGTAGAAATACACTATAAAACACTATTAAGCTGACAAATGAGATTATGAAACGTTCAGGTAAATGGAACAAGCTAGAAAAGGTTATATTGTTAGGTAATCCTGACCCAGAAAAAATGCTACATGTGCTCTCTCATCTGCAGTCCCTAGCTCCCAGTCTTCAGATGAGTACGTATCCTGGAGCAATTGCAGAAACCGAGAAAGTAAAAAGGGACTATGAAGGGAGAAAGGGAGCTCTAGAGCAAGATATAGGTCCTGTGAAACAGGAAAAAGAGGGAAAGATAGGGGTATGGGAGCAATACAGAGAAGAGAAGGGGAGGAAGACTAAATAATGCTGTAGGTGTTGAAAAAAGCCAGAGGGAACCTGCATTTTGTGTGTGTGTGTGTGTATAAACATATATGTATATATGCATATATATGTATAGTGTGCATATGTGTACCAAATATAGTTTAAATGAAAATTGCCATTTGGAGTGATAGAATACTCCCTGCAACAGCCATAGACTACCTCGCATAACCCCAAATACGAGGCATGAGAACCTTCCTTCTAACGCTGTTGTTGGTCAGGGGAACCCAAACAATTCCCCAAAGAGTACAAACTATTGCTGTTGCTCTTGCTTGCCTCACAGAATGTAAAGATAATTCCCCATTGGTGAAGACACAGGACTCAGAATTCAAGCTGAATCTGACCTGGCAGTCTCCTCCCTGAGGACTAACTTTCATAGTACTAGAATGTGTTATGCAGGCTGCAAAAGAAGAGCAATCAGTGGTCCTATTCAGTCATGATGCCTACAAACTCCAGCAATGACCAACATGGCAGAGATAGCCCTAAAGGTGCAGTAGTGGCCCTTGTATCAGGGCAGTAACCAACAATTGTGTAATCTGTAATGCTTTATGTCAAGACTAACAACTTGGTCTTTTTGATCTTTGTAGTAGTTTTAGGGAAAGGAAAGGCAATAATGCTTATTGTATGTCTCTACTCTGCTGGATAGTTTACATGCATTGTCTCACTTTTTATTTCATCTGTATATTGATCCAGCAAAACTGGGAATGAATGAGTAGCTCCAATTAGCAGATGAAAAAAAAGTAGTGTTAAGGAGAAATCGAAAGATTTACAGTTTTTAAATGGTTTGTTTTCTATCTGGGTCTGTGTAGTAGTCCACAGTGCCCTGGAGGATAGGCATCAAAAAGATCTGTTGAAATATAGTATAACGAGTGGTTTTGAGGATCCTGGGCAGAGTATTGTCAGTCATGGTCTACTGGTCCCAGTTTAAAAGTAAGATGCTCAAAATGGGTCCTGAATGTGAGTTCCATGAGGGTGGAGGTTTTGTCAAGTTCGTTATCCTCTCTACTCTTGGCCCAGAAATGATAACTGTGGTGGTTTAAATGAAAGTGGCCCCCATAGGCCCATAGAGGGTGGCCCTGTTGGAGGATATGTGTCACCAGGGTGGACTTTGGGCTCAAGCCAGCCCCAGCCACTCTCTCTTCCTCTTCCTACTGCCATGCTTCTTGCCATGACGATAATACACTGAATCTCTGAACCTGTAAGCCAGCCCCAATTAAATGTTTTTTCTTTTAAGAGTTGTCATGGTCATTATGTCTCTTCACAGCAGTAAAAGCCCTAACTATAAGACAATAACTGATGAATGGTGTTTAATTAGTATTTTTAATGATCAGTTAATAAACAGGTATTAATTGAAGTACAGACAATCAACAGCAGATACAAAGAGACAAGAGCTTTGAAAGGGCCAGTGCTTTTACAGAACATTTTGATGGGGATGATAAATTGATATATTTATGTCCCTAATTTTAGATAATTGCAGAATGTACATTCAGCATATAAAGGATAAGCTTTTTTTAAAAATGGTTTCTATATGGAAATATACATCTACATGGAAATGAAAAAATCTGAAATGATAGAAAAAGGGAAGGCAGATATTTATAGTTATGAAATTATGTTCTCCTTATAAATATATGAGTCAAGTTCAGGGGCTTTTAAAGGATAAAATGTTTCGAAATGGCTCTTGTTACATATGGTAGGATATTAGTGTATGAAGCCTTCATACTTTGTCTTGCAGTGATACTGGTACAGTACCTCCAGAAAGATGCCTCTTTGGAGTAATGCTAAATATTGCTGCAGTTTTAGGTAAGTAGTGGAAGTAGTTTTTAACACTCAAATGAATAGTCAAATTGCTGTTTTCTTCTTTAAAATTGTATCGTTGCTTATTTTCTAGTTATACTTGAGAATGTGTTTCTACTAAATTATGGATTATAACTATGTTCCTAAAAAAGAAAGAAAACTTTTGGTTATATAGTAATAAACCTTGCTGCCTAACAAGAAAAAAACCCCACAGGTACAAATGTCTAATTATAGAAATACACTTTGAAGAAATATTTATATGATTATTTGACTTCTTATCCAAACAGAGGTTCCAAACACAGTGAAACATCCCTCGGGGCCTTTTTTCTTTCTTTTTTATGATTTTTCAAGACAGAGTTTCTCTGTGTAACAGCTCTGGCTGTTCTCGAACTTGCTTTGTAGACCAGACCAGCCTCAAACTCACTGAGATCCACTTGCCTCTGCCTCTCAAGTGCTAGGATTAAAGGCATGCACCACCACCAGCCAGTGAAGATTTCTTGAACATCTCATGTTAAATCAAGAACTGTGGGTAAAACTGAGCACAACTAAATTCTTTTGTGAAAAACAGTTTAAAAGTTCAAGAGTAGAGATGGAATTATGTTTTCACTTTTGATTAATATTCTAATGCCATGGAACTTACTGTAGTGAATTATATTCAGGCTCTTTTGTGAGCCAGATTTTTGTTAATTTAGTAAAATATTTTATAATCAAATATCGTCATTTAAAATAATTTCATCTGTCAATTCAATACTTATTTGCTTGTATAAAAAAAGGAATTAGCATTGGCAAGATGGCTCAGGAGGTAAAGGTACTTGCTACTGAACATGACGACCTTGAGTTTGATCTCCAGAACCTAACTGGGGGGTGGAAATAACCAGCTCCCAGAGGCTGTCTAGTGATTACACACACATACACATTAAATAAATAAATAAAAGTAAAAGAATATTGAAAAAATAGACGTTAGAAAAAATATAAATATATGTTTTCTCTTTATACTTTTCAGAAACGTATCTACAAAGCATGTATCTGTCATTTTTATTATACTACTGAGTTGTTTGGTAATAACTCTGCAATGGAAAGTTTGATTTGGCCCTTTCTTGAATCATGAGCATGCAAAGAAGACTCTATTTTCTTGTATAATTGACGACTGGAATGAGGAGGAAAGCCCTTTGTTCTACCTATGCACGTCCCATCTGCATTCTGCTGTTCACTTTGATGTTGATCCTAAAAATATTATGAGTTTAATATAGTAAGAATATCATGAGGGAATTTTTCCAGAATACATCAAACTTCTAAGCTTTATACTAAGTAGTTGTAGATACGAGACCCAGGGAAGGCAAAGGGCTTGTTCAGGCACCCAGAGATTCAAGTCGTTCTATAGTGTGACTATAGAAGTTCTTTAAAATCTACAGCTCTTTTTGTGCCCTTCTTTCAAGTTAATGTCCAAAGGACAATCTGTGATTCTGGATAACAGTTCAGCTTTGTGAACTCTTCTCTGGCATTTTGTTACCCTGGTTACTCATTACTTCGTTGTTTTTCAAATTCCTAGGTATTGCTACCATGTATGTTCGTTACAAACAAGTTCATGCACTGAATCCTGAAGAGAACCTTATCATCAAATTCAACAAAGCTGGCCTTGTACTTGGGATACTGAGTTGTTTAGGACTCTGTCTTGTGGCAAATTTCCAGGTATGCTTTTTTTTTTTTTTTTAACAAAGTATGGTGTTTTCCCAAAATGCTTGGGTGTCGGTGGTAAAATGAAAAGCTGAGCTCTTCACGCGCATGCTGCTCCTGCCTCTTCACCTGACAGAATTAAGCTGCTTTAGAACAGCTACTTTCAGTATTAGAGGAATCCACATTCAGTAATCTAGACAAACAGTTCTCAGAACTGTTGGTCAGTACAATCAAGATAGTTACGAGACAGACATCGTTACTCTTCAGGGGAGGTCACCTCAAGATCAGACAGAACTGATGGGTGTTATGCATTGCAGATCTAAACTTGGTGTTTTGTTTTCTGCGTCCACTCTCATTCAGGTCACTATACCAGTCCTCTTGGCTTTATCACTTCAAATCAGATCACTCTTTTGTTACAACTCCTCCTTCAACTAGGGACATCTTGAACATTCTGACTTTTACTCCTGGCTTCCTTTCTGACTCCTTTATCCACAGACCTAGCATCACCCAAATACCCCCGTGTTCCTCTTCTTCCTGATGTAAGGTTTTGCCACTTAAAGTGGTGAACATTATCACCTACCTTTTATCACTCTTATAATTTCTTTTAGGAGTGGTGTGCTTGGAGGAGAGTTTATCATTGTTTTGAATGTTGACTTACTGATTTCCCTCTTAAGTATATTTTAAATGCTCCTGCTTCTCATTATTTTCATTTCTCCCTCCTTTCCTGCCAGTTCCCTTTGAAGGGAATTGCTCATCTGTATTCACTCTTACTTTACTTAATCTCCATTAAAAAAAAAAGGTTTCTGTTGCCTTGCTTAAAGCTCCAAAGAATTTACATTAAGAAAAAATAATTTAATAAACTCAGATATTTAATCTGATCCAGGGTCCTCTCTAATCAGGTTCTCTAGCCTCATTTTTGTATCACTGTGTTCTTAACGTTGCCACTGTATATCATGCTAATCCCATTTTGTTCTTGTTCCTTGAAGGAAGGAAGTTTATTTAACTCCTTTACATAAGTATTTGAGTATGCTACGAACCTCAGACCTAAGTAAATCTAGGCCTCAGTATGGATCCCACTTTTCTAGGAAGTGGTTTTGTTGGGTCCTACTGCAGTGTATTCTGGGTTTTCTCTTTGTATTCTCTAGTCTTGGAAAGTTCACTCTTTATACTTCTTACTGGGGTCTAATTTATTTTTTATTCGCAGTTGAAATAGTTCTCTATTTATTTGTTAGTATATTTCTCTTTAATTATTAGTGCAGTGATTTGCGCCCCATCTAACTCCAACACCTAGCACACTACTTCATGCATGCCAGCTCTCCTTAATTATTTTGGAACTTTTTGAGAAACCCTGAAGGTACTATAAAAAGGTTGAGGAAAAGACTTTTATCCTATGATTGCTTGTATTCAAGGGGAAGCCCAATATACAAAATACAGAATGTTGTATTTGAAAATACAATTTCATATAAATTGAATGCCTTTGAACAGGGTGTATATATTATTCAACGGAAGAACTAATGGGTGATAAGGGTCCTCAGTATCCACTTAGAAGAATGTTTCCCTTCTGGGAGATTTATTCTTCAGGAGATTTGGAAGGGATTAGTAAACAGGGAGGTAAAGTTTAGTTTTCTAGGGTCACCATATGAAAATGCCATGAATTGGATAACTTGAAAAAGCAACTTAATCTCTCGAAGTCAAGGTATTAGTAGGACGGGTTCTCTTCCATGCTCTCCTAAACAGCCAGCTAGTCCAGAACTTCAGCATCGATCCCAATGGTCTTCAGTTACCTTAAACTCTCTCCTTTGTTTCCTTAGTTTCTAAAATTAGGAAACTAGATAGAATAAGCCATAGGTTTATTTTTCAATATCTGTTTATTTATCTATACAAATAATTAAAGCTGATATACATGATAAGTACTCATATGAACTTTTCAAAATTGAAAATAATTTTCTTTTTATACAACATATTCTTATCACAGTTTCCTCTCATCTCCTCCCAGATCCTCCTCACATCTCCACCCATCCAAATGTCTAACACCATACCTTCTTTCTCTCTGTAGAAAACAAATAGACAAAACAAATGTGGTGTGGGAGAATTGTCTGTGTTCTGTCAATTATGTTTTGAATAAACGCTGATTGGCCAGGCAGGAGGTGTAGGTGGGAAAACCAGACAGGAAGTGGAAATGATGCAAGGAGAGCAGGAGAATTCTGGGGAGGAGGAAGTTGATTCCTCCCACTCCTACCCAGATCACCAAAGCAGCAGGATGTGAGCTGCCTCACTGAGAAAGGTACTGAGCCACATGGCTAACATAGATCAGAAAAATGGGTTAATCAAGATATGAGAGTTAGCCAGTAAGAGGCTAGACCTAATGGGCCAATCAGCTTTTTAACTTAAAGAGATTTCTTTGTGTAATTTTTCTCTGGGACTAAACAGTTGGGGGAGGGGGGCGGGCAGGACAGAAAAACCCACAAACAATCAGGCCCGGCCTTTTCATGTTACACAAATGAACCAGAATTAAACAAACAAACAAACAAATAAAAAACAGAAAAAGTAAGAGAAACACACAAAGCCATTTAAACACAAAATTGGGAAATATAATATATAAGCAAAAGACCTGTTAGGTAAAAAGTGTGCAAACAAAAGCATTGTGAGAAAAAAAAATTCTTCAAAATACCATTGGGTTTGTTTTGTGTTGACCATCTACAGCTGAGCATGGGGCCTGCCCTTTTATGTGCTTTGTATATGTAGCAGAGACTCCATTGGAGAAAATTAATTTTTCTTTTGTGAATGGTTGTTAATTTGAAATAGTTTAATGGGTAAGGATGGGAGCACAAATCTGCTTCCCCTCTCAATGCCGGAACCCCATACTGCCTGGACCTGTGCAGGTGCCATGCATGCTGCCGGTCTCTGTGAGTACATATGTGGGTTGGTTCTATTGTATCTGGAAAACACTGTTTCTTTGATTCCTCCTATCTCCTCTGACTCTTATGTTCTTTCTGTCTTCTCTTCTATGTTTATTCCCTGATCCTTTAGGTAAGGGGTTTAATGAATACATCCCATTTAGGACTTAGTGTTCCAAGGCTTCTTAGTCTCTATATATTGACCAATTGTGTCTCAGTATTTATTCTCATCTACTGCAAGAAACTTCTCTGGTTATAGCTGAGTGAGGCACTGACCTATGAATATAGCGGAATGTCATTGAATGACATTTTATTGCTATATCCCTTTCGTCTAGCCGTAGTATTTGGTTTTTCCCAGGTCCATGACCTGTGTAATCTCAGGTTCTTGACCACCCAAGCAATGCAGGCGTAGGTTCTTTCTCATGAAATGGGTCTTAAATCCAATCAGCTAGTGGTTCGTTACTTCTATAACTTTTGTACCACTATTGAACAAGTGTATCTTACAGGCAGGTCACCAGTGTAGAATGAAGAGTTTGTAGCTGGGTTGATGTTTTTGTCTCGTTAGATAGCATGCAGAGTACCATCGAGTACCATGAACACTAGTCAGTAGGCATAAAGGCTCTAGCTAGGCAATAGCATGGCTTCTCCATATTCAATGAGACTTATAGGTGTTTCTTTAACAATAGCACCTTACAATCAGTTTGTGGAGAATTATCTATTGCTTTGGCAATAGCCTGTGTTGTTCGGGGGTTTTCATGGATTCTTTTGGCCAGCAACTCAATTAGATGTAACCCATTCCTGGGACTGGATGTTTCACTTAATGGCAAGGGATGTCTTCTTGGGGCTTTGTCTCTCCCTATTATTTGGTGAATCTTTTTAGATTTCTTTCATATATGTATATATCTTAAGAAACTTCTACTGTAGTAGGTTTCGCTAAGACCCCTCAAATGTCTGTTAGTGTTAGTGTCCCTTCTTATTTCCTCTTTATTCTGTTTCCATTTATACACCTCCATTTCATTTTTTTGTTGCTGTTGTTTTTGGTTTTTGTTTTGTTTATCAAGACAGGGTTTCTCTTTGTAATAGCCCCTGGAACTAGCTCTTGTAGATGAGGCTGACCTCATACTCACAGAGATACACCTGCCTCTGCCTCCCAAGTGCAGGGATTAAAGGCGTGCGCAACCACCACCCAGCTCCATTTCAGTTTTTAATACAGCACATACTTTCCCTCTATTTTTTTGTTTTTGCCTTTAATTCAGGATTTTGTTCAGGAACAATGTAATGACATTGATTGGGCAATGTCTATATTTACCTTTATCAGATATAATAACCATACCTTCAAGCAACTAGCCAGCACTTTCACTAAGAAAATAAACTGGTACCTTTGAGAAATCAAACTCTCTGATTTCTGTACATTGACAATTACCTGTCGCAATCAACTGAGAGATAGCAAATCAACTGGGTTTGTGGATTGTACAGCTAATGTAAAAGAAGGAAACTGAACCCTGTCCTTCCTTTGTTTTCCGAGTCATTATGTTCCCTCTGTGCCAAGTGTTGGACATGTCTTTTCTCTCAAATGAAGCACAGCCAACTAAAAAACTCAAAAAACAGTGATTCAACCAAAACTTGATTTAAAATTTGATTGTAGAAATTTGATATTGACAATTGTCACTTTTAAACAGATGGAAAATATGATGTTAAAAATTGAATGTAAGTGAATAAGGGGAAGACATTATAATTTATAATAATCCCTGTGGAATAATCAGTACAAAGTAATAATAATCCCTGTGACATAATCAATAACAAACTAGAGCCATGAAGGCCTTAAATTACATTTGAATTTAAACTCTCTTAGCCTGATATCCCTAGCTCTTTGCTTTTAGCCTATTTGCTTTTTTCTATTATTATTACCATTTTGTACCTTACTGTGGAATGCCTTTATTTCTGAAGTTTATTATTTATTTTTGTGTACCTTCACTAGAATATAATAAACTGTGAGGGCTGAGTGTCTTTTTCATTCATTTACATATTAATGGCTTTTAAAAATATTTGACACTTAATAGGACCTAATAAATAATAATGTTAAATAAGTTATAAAAAGAAAACATGAATATTTGTTACCATTTTCACTGTTGGTAAATAAAGTCATCTGGTTTCACTATAATCTTCTGGTACTTCGGGGACGTGATTTTGGAATCCGCAGAGCTTCTCCGCACAGTGAATGCTCTATTGAATTATCTGGCTTGTGCTTTAAAATGATATATTGTTGATGTGTTCTGAGTTCCTTCGGTTGACTCACAGACTTTTTTTCTGCTTCTCAGAAATCAACACTATTTGTTGCACATGTATGTGGAGCTGTGCTTGCCTTTAGTATGGGTTCATTATACATGTTTGTTCAAACCATCCTTTCCTACCAAATGCAACCTAAAATTCACAGCAAACAAGTCTTCTGGATCAGACTACTGTTGGTTATCTGGTGTGGAGTAAGTGCACTAAGCAGTATCCTTTGTTATAAAGTGTGGTTTACCGTTCAAAGAAACTAGGAAAACAAAACAAGGAAATAAAATAGGTACAATGTAAGTACCAGTTTGTTAATTTTAATATTTTTAGATTATTTTATGTGTATGGGTGTTTTATCTGCATATGTGTATGTGCACCATGTGCATACCTAGTAGTCACAGTATCAGAAGAGGGTGTCAGATACTGTGGAGTTGAACTTATGGATGGTTGTGACATACTAATGTGGGTACTGGGAATCAAATCTTGGTCCTCTGCAAGAGCAACATGTGCTTTTCACTGGTGAGGCATTACTCCAGCACCTCCACCCCATCCCTCTAAAGTCACTCTATGCTAAAGAATGTTGTACAGTTGTACATGAAATTCAGTTAAGTAATTGACCAGGAACAAAAATGTTTGGTATACTCATACTTCAGAGAAATCAAAGAAGAGTTAGTATGCTTACTATAGAAAATTATTCAGTGAAAATTTATGGTGGAACTGCTAGTTCTTGATCAAGAAGCAAAGACTATGATGATATAAACCATTTTCTGAGGGTCCCAGGAGTAGATCTTTATTTTTAATACTGCCATGTGACACTAAATCTTTAAAGAAATAGAATTAGACCATAGCAACAAATGTGTAAGCTAGCCTTTAAAGTGGCTTTAGTTTTGTTTTGTTTATGGTTAGGATTTACAAATTCAAACCTTCAACCCTCTGAGATTCTTCCTTGACTTTTTTATAGTGCTGACTTGCTCATCAATTTTGTACAGTAGTGATTTTGGTGCTGATATAGTACAGAAACTACACTGGAACCCTGAGGACAAAGTAAGAGCTTAATATAAAATGTTAATATAAAATAATATAGAAAGTGTATGTGTGTAATTTTTTAAGGATTAATTTTAAATTTATATTTATGTGTATCTGTATGTCATGTATGCGTGGATGCCTGCACAGGGCATAACAGGGCATTGGATTCCTTGGGGCTATATTTTCATGCAAATATGAACTGTCTAACATGGGAGCTGGGAACAAACCTTGGTTCCTCTGGAAGAGCAGCAAGCTCTCTTAACTGTTGAGCCCTCTCAACACTATATCATATATGTTACAAGTTGGTGTACAAACTCTAAAATAAGATCTTACAAAAGTTTATAGTGAATATTCTGGAAATTTTTCTAGTGTGATTTTATGAATTTTATAAAGATACATGTACACTCATGTACACTCAAGCACACTCTGAGTGTGCATGTGTGCGTATGACGTGTACACCTGAAAGCAAGAGGATAGTCTTGGGTGTCATTCCTCGGGTGCTATCCAGCTTGTTTTTTGAGACAGAATCTCTCACTGGCCTAGAGCTTGCTGGTGTTGCCACGCAGTTTGGCCACCACGCTCCAGCAAGCTGCCTGGTTCCACCTCTCCAGTTCTAGGGTCAGAAGCATGGACCATACACTGGCTTTTTGTGTGGTTCTGGAGAGAGAATGAAGATCCTCATGTTAGCACAACAAGCACTACCAACCGAGCATTTCCCCAAGCTCCTTCCATATATACTTTTTAAGGATTTATGGTGTTGGAGGTCAAACAAGGGTCTTGTACAAACTAGGCACAGCTTGTTTTCTTGTTTTGGAGGGGTATATTTTAATTTCACTCTGGTCTGGCTGACCTTAAATTTGTGATCTTCCCTTAGCCTCCTTAGTGTAAGGATTGCATGTGTTAATTTATGAGTCTTACGGCTCAAGAAGTAACTCCTTGGTTGTACAGTGCGGACTCTGTTTTGTCTTGGTTATTTAGTGGGAATTAACATTTGCTTTCAGTGAAACTCATACGTCTAGGATGGTTTAGAAGGTGTATTCCAAATAGGTATTGCAATTCTCAAAACTCAAAGGTTGATTATCGAAGGAAGATTAGGCTATAAGAATTTGATGTTGCTTAATTTGAGAAATACTATAGATTCTTTGAATAAAACATCACAGAACTACCCTGTTTTCCCTCTCTGACTCAGGGTTATGTGCTTCACATGGTCACTACTGCAGCAGAATGGTCTATGTCGTTTTCTTTCTTTGGATTTTTCCTGACGTACATTCGTGACTTCCAGGTAAGAAAATAGTTTCAGTTTCATTCAGTAGAACTTCATGTGGAATACCAGAATATTTCATTGGCAGAGTCCCTATCCTTTTTGAAAATTAGCTATTTAAAACTTGGCTTGAGAGACAGTGATACAAGAAGAGTAACATGTTGTGAAATTATTTCTGGGTTTGAGGAAGTAGTGTGTTGCAAATAGATTTCAGCCTTCATAATGGAATTGCAACGCATATCTGAAGAAATTTTTTGATAGACTTCTATAATCTGTGTGCATTCACCTAGGCCCAGTCCTAACACATAGTTTTACAAAATACAACGAAAGCAAAACAAGAAACTTACTGAGGCAAGAAAGTGATTTTCCCGTTTCTCTTGGTGCTCAGGATGATGCCTGTGGCAGTGATTTCCTGTTCCCCATTAGATTAGTTTTTATCTTGTTGCATAAGGGAGTCTTTGAAGCATGAAATGATACTCTGATAAGGACCAAACTTCTCTTTATATTTTTTTTTCTGTTCCAGAAAATTACTTTACGGGTGGAAGCCAATTTACATGGATTAACCCTCTATGACACTGCTCCTTGTCCTGTTACCAATGAAAGAACACCACTGCTTTCCAGAGACTTTTAATGAAGGGATAAAATACTTCTGTGATAATTACGATTCTCAGGGATTTGAGAAAGATGCAGAAAAGTTGCTTATTATACTCTGAAAAATTTGAATCAGTTAATCAAGGCTGACAGTGACATTAATGAACGATAATAATCAAGAGACGTGTAATAAGCCATTTGATCAGTTTTCTTAAAGGATGTCATTAAGATTATCTAAAAATATTTATGCCTAGACTTTTTTTAATCTCAGAAAATAAAACCAAAGGATAATACCATTGTAGTGTTTGCTACTTTATTGAAGAAAAACAGATTGAAATACACCAACTTGTCTGTATAACTGGCCTTAAATATTTTGTAAGTCATTTTAAAACTATCTTTTGTTAGGAGCACTTTTATGAGAGACATTTTATATGACCCATAATAATCAACATTGATTAGCAGACATTTAGAATCATGGTTTGAAACTGAAATTTTAATTTATTAATACATTTCTTATAGTGCTTAAAGATATGTCATTGTTGTTGTTGTGGAATCGCCGCCTGTGAATAGGAGCTGATCTGAGTTCTTCTGAGTTCTACGATGGCTTAAATTTTGTGCAGAAATAGTCAGTGGGTATTTATTTGATTCTGGATACATAAGTACTAACAGATCTATCATATGTGCTTGCCATAATTTCATAGATCTGGTCTCTGAGATTATACTTTTAATTAACAGTGAAAGAGATATTTGTTGCAAGTATGCTACCATCTTGTTCTTGATAAAAGTGAAGGTTAATAACTGATGACATTGCCAGCCTGACAACCTGAATTTAATATGTGGGACCCACATAACGGAAGGAAAAGACTCCTACCAATTATTCTCTGACCTCCATATGTATGTGCACATGCACAATACATAAATGTGAAAATAGATAATAAATAATTATTGATGTTCCTAAATAAGATTGTAATGTCTATAGACAAAAGTAGATAGGATTAATAACAAATAAAAGTTACTCTACACTGCAGCTAGGAGCTTCTTTGCTTTTCATTGATAGAAAATTTCATTACTAGTACAAGTAATTTTGAGTACATAAATAGCCTTTTTACTGGAAGTTGATCTTTTTAGAATATAGATCTGAAGAAGAGACCAAAATCCAAAATTAAAACCAAACTATAAGATAATTCGAAATTTTTTCTCCTGTCATGCAAATGATTGTAAAGTTTTTATTTAGATCTCTGTATGGGTAAAGGACAGTTTCTAGATCCCCATTAAGATTAAAAGGGAGAAAATAGTTGACCTAGAAAATGCCTATAGTCTAACTGGTTCTTAAAAAATCATATGGTTTATATTTTTAGAAGAGATGGTACTGAGACCAGAAGAAAAGATGTTGAGAAAAAGATTTAAATGTATCAAGGAAGCTGTTTATATGGTGGCGCTGTAGACTTCAATTATTAGTTGTTAAGTACAAAAATCAGTAACTATTTTTGAATAAATTTCTTAGACTAATGAAGAAATGGAGTATTTGCCAAGCAACAGTGAAAAAGGGAGACATTTCAGTAGACATTGATTGATTGACTGTTGCTACTACTAGAACAAATTGCACACAAATCATGAAAAGCTATTAATAAAAACTGTACTGTAACCACACATGGAAAGTATCTTTTCCTGTGGTTTCTCTCTACCACCAAGTCAGGTTATGAAGTTTCCTTGATATGATGAGGAGAAAAGTGATGGAGTGAAAATTCATGAGGGTAAATGTAGGGAAGGCAAAGAGAAAAACATAGACTTATTAGAATAATCCCTTCTCAAACTATTACCCTTAAAGAGACAGTTCAGGCAAGAAAGAAATTGTTCTAAGGTGAATTGTTACTAGTTTGATAGTATTTAAATTCTACTAGTTAACATTTACCCTTTGAAGTAACAAAGACTGAAAACATGAGTAGATTTAAAAAGGAATTATGAACCAAGAGAGATGTGGGGTATCGTTTCCTAACCTTAAGGCTGAAGTGATGATAGACAGTGGCCCTCTTCCTCAGTATATCATCCCTGTTAGTACTGCCAAATACAAGTATGGATTAACAGACAAGAAAGATATTCTTTTATCCCCCTTTTATTGTTTTTGGGGGATTTCAGGTGTATAGCTTTCCAATTAGGTAGTCTTAAAGTAATAAACTTGGCGGGTATTGAGAGTGAAAACTCTTATTTCCTTTTTGTCTTGGATACACAGACTATATTCTGTAGTTTCTTCAATTTTATGTAGGCATGGGATTGCACTATAGAAATGTTAATGTATTTTATATTTAGAATTTAAAAATCTGGGATTCTGTTTTCTTGTGTTTTGTGTCTGTTGAATATTGTTGGGAACACTGTAAAAGATGACAGAATCAAAAGGTAGACGTAGCCTAAACTGCTTTTTTAAAAACATTTTATGTTATGTAATTGAATTATTTCTCCCTTCCCCTTCATCATTCCATACCATGCCATATACCCTTCCATGCTTTCTTTCAAATTCATGACCTTTTTCCCCATTGTTTTATAAGCCTGAGTGAGTGCACGTGTGCGTGTGTATGTGTGTGTGTGTGCATAAGTATAAATCTGTAAGTATAACTTGTTCTGTTTGTATAATATTATTTTTATGTGTCTTTTCAGGGCTGACCATTTGGTATTGGATAACCAGTAAATGTGCTCTTCTCTAGGGAAGACCATTTTTCCCTTTCTCAGCAAATTTCCTTTTGATCAAACTTTAGAAAATTAAATTTGAGATTTAATATTATTTAGGACATTAATATTTATAGTAAGGTCTTGTATATTTCTGGAATGGTGTCATATAGATATTTTATCAGTGTATAAATAGATACTTTTCTTATCTCTTCTACAGTGACCGACCAGTACAGGCTTAACTACAAACTGAAAGGTCAGAAAATATTGCCTTATAAGTACCGTGGAATTTTTATCATGTACAATTTGCCTCTTTACAGAGTATCCTGATATATTATGAAGGACATAATATAGAGCTGACCTAAAACAAAGAAAAAAATCTGAGATTCTTTTGAGACAGAGTCTGTGTGTGTTCCAGCTTGTTCTTAAACTCATGGTGTAGCCTAGACTAGACTCAAACCTAGGTTTCCTTAGTCTACCAAGTGATAGGATTATTGTCTTATACTACCATGCTTGTCTGTTAAGGTTCTTTAAGCACCTGTTTCAAACCTAAGGCTTGATAATTGACTTAAGAAGAAAAGAGAAATGAAAACAAAATTGCCCTGAGGTACTTAAAGCTAAAGACAACAGTGGAATACAAAGAAAATCCCCCAGGTATCCTAAATTTTGCAGTCATGATATAATGCACAGAGAAATTTATTGTTTAGAAAACTGACAGGTCACCTGAAAACCACAAAGATTCCAGGAGTCTCCCCAGTGCACAAAGGAAGCCCATAGGAATAAAATGGTAGTCATAGAAGCCCATAGTAGTCATCTCAGAATAAAGTGAGTCCATCTCTAGCACAGAGGCCAACTCCTCTGAAACTGCAGTCAGATTGCTTCTGATCGCCACACACTGAAGCCTAATGATAGAAGGGTGTACTGTTTCCTGGAGGTAACAATTGGCCTTTTTTATACTTCTGCCATTTGTAGAAAATACGTGACACAACGTTTAAAAAAATGCAAGACGTAAAAGAACAAAAAGCATTGATCTAAAGAGGAATCTGAGTAGAAGCAAACTATTAGAGATTAATAACAGTGGTAAAATGTTGAGGGAAGTAAATACGAAGACACAAAATTGTAGCAAAGATTTGGAAAATTCAAATGCAGTTCGAATATGAGCTAATAAAACAACACAAGAATTATTAATAAACATTAAGACAAGAGAGTTGAAAATGTATAAAGTAATTATTAAAAGGAAAAGGAGTGAAAATAAAAATAAAGTATTTGAGTGTAAAGGTCAAATCAAATACCTTACCATCTTTCTAAGAGAAAGAAATTAAAAGAACGAGGCAGAAAAGGTTTTCAATAGCTGTTAACTAGGGACTTTGCTGAAATTGATGGGGCCTGATAGATATAATTTTTGGGGTTAATACTATGTCAGAGTCCCCTCATCAGATTCAATGGTCAGTGTCCTTAAAGAGGACAAGCAGATACAAAGACATAAAAAAGAAGGTCATGTAAAGATGGAGACAGAAATGGGGAAGACACAGCTGCAAGCCAAGGAGTGCCTGGTTGCTGGCAACCATATGGTTGAAAGAAAAAGAGTATTTTCCTATAGTATTTTCAAAGGAAATCCTGGGGGTCATTCTCTAAAAATTAGAGATTTTTTTTATGTTTTAAGCCATCTTCTTTATGGCAATTTATTATGGGACCCTAAGGGGAAAAATATTAATATTAAAATCAAGAGGTAGGCTTCCTCTGAACTGAAAATGTTTATAAAACATGTAAAGGTTACTTAGAACCAAGCAATAAGCTCTAGATAGTATGTAAAACAATGGCTATCTGCATGCTGGAAAGTCTTCAGTGCCTTTGAAGGAATGAAAGATTAATGAAGAGTCATTTACCTTCAGCTGACAATGGAAACCCAAAGAAATGGGAGTCTGGTGTCCATGAAGCAGGCTAGCAAGCAGCACTGTTTTCTTTAGAATTTTTTATTTTTAGACTGCCTATTGAAAGACACTACTGACTCAGTTCTCAGTAAATTTAACAATCAAGATTAATCTTAGGGGTCTGATGGTTTGAAAGAAAATGACACCCCTTAACCCCAGAAAGAGTAGCACTATTTGGTGTGACCATGTTGAAGTAGGTGCGGTCTTGTTAGAGAAAGTGTGTCACTGTGAAGGTGGGCTTTTAAGTCTCATATATGTTCAAGCCATGCCCAATAAGACAATTCACTTCCTGTTACCTGCACAAGATGTAACATTCTCAGCTACCTCACCAGTACCGTGTCTGCCTGCGTGCTGTCATGTCCTACCATGATAATAATGGACTGAACCACTGAACTGCAAGCCATCCAGTTAAATGTTTTCCTTTGTAAGAGTGGTTGTAGTCATGGTGTTCTTTGACAGTAGCAGACGGGGACATAACCACATAGACTGTTTGTTTGCATTAAAGATAGTAAAGCTATGTAATGAGCATCTTTATACCAATAGATTGAGTGACTTAGGTGGGTTGAACAGATGCCCTTTGAAACAGTCTGTCAGTGCCTTGCCAAAGGAAATAGATCTAAAAAGTCTGTATACTTCCTGAAATACTGAATTGGTCATCATAATGTCAAACAAGAAAATTTTCATTGTTGCACAGAGAATTCTTC